AGCAGAACAAAGCCCGAAGAACGCACCAGATTCTTAAAAATGAACTTCATCCTCTCATCGGAACCTGCATCGAAAAAGCATGAGCACCCTCTACCATCGTAACATTCAATGCGAATCCCACATACATCCTTCATTGATCTTCTGAACGTTCTCAGTGATAGACGCCGCCGACATATCGTTCAGCTTGGGAAGCTTGGACAGGTCGATGCCATGTTCGTGAGCTCGTTTGTTCGCAGCGAGGATGCTGGCTTCGTGGGCTGCGCTTGCCATGAGTATTGAGTTTGAGGTGGTGGATCAGGAAGAGGAGGAGTGGGTACGAGTATCGGGCTCGCATCCTTTACCTGGTCCAGGTGAACTGATCAAGGTCTTAGTCTGATGACCAATGGTGGGAATTCTTGGGAAGGCCAGTACCGTTTTCGGGTACCGGACCATCGGCTATGAGCCGGCTGGAACGGTGGAACCTCAAGCTCACGTTGATGTACGAGAAACTAGTTGCGTTGTTTGCAGGAACAATACAAATGGAGCTTTCTTGTATTGCATAGACAGGAGCGGAGAGGAAACCCTCAATTCAGAAAGGGTTCTGACTCTAACTCCTCCTTGGCTATAGAAAAGTCGTTCTGTTGTATAAGAAACTCTAGGTTTGAGCCATCCTAATAAGGGCTGGTTGATATCTTCAATTAGCTGTCTATACTTGTCGAGAGATGCATGTCAGTCCAGGCTTTTGTACCCCGTCAAAGCCGATACCCACTCACCCGTACTTTATTCTAAGGTGCAGGCCATTCTCTTTCTATGCTCGACGCCCAATCGACGAACCTGAGATCCTTAAAACCACTACTTCCCACTGCTCTCCATTACCATCCTCGAAAACTTGCTACGCCGCCTTATCGAAGGACCATAGAAGAAGAGTATCTAGCACGAACTCCAATCAACACTTGAACGTGTTTCGTAGAAGCAGGACTCACAAAAGGTATCGGAATCATCACCGTTGCAAGGCAAGCAAACAGCGTATTCGCCCACTTGTACGTGAGTCCTTCGAACATATAAGGCGTGAACAGCGGGAAAGCGAAGCCCGCCAAGTTTCCTACGAAGAAAAACCAAGGAACAGGGATAAGAAAAGGGTTCGACGCAACGGGTGAGCGTTGTTGTACTTACGACATAAACTCTGTCCAGCTAGCCCCGACGACGCAAAAGGACCATAGCTATATACGAATACGATTCGGTAAAGCCGTTTTATCACTCAAGGACTCGAACGTACCAATCGGCGATATATGAGAACACCGCGAGGTATATCACATAACATGCCCATGTGAATATCTACGACGTCTTTTAGAACGACATTCAAGCCAGAAAAGAAGTGCACGCCTACCAATATCCCCATCGCCAGTCCAACCCACGAAACACCGGGCAGGGATGTCCATGCGTAGATGAACATTCCTGAAGGGAACAGAAGCGCAGCAACACAAGCAAAGTAGAGCCGTGCTTCTGGGCCTCGTTTAGCGTATCCTCTCCTATTCATTTGTTAGTTTTCGTCTTGTTTTTTTGGATTTTGATGGAAAGGGAAACTCACTGGTACAGCCTCTCTTGGAAGAAATTCGTGAAGAAGCCGACGGTTGTACCGATCCTGTGAAGATGAACGCAGGCCGTGAGTAACGTACGGACGCGATGCAGTGAAAGGCAACGACATACATCATGGCTGCGAACACCGTACCAATCTGGCCAATGTTAAAATGGTGCAGGTCTCGAAAAATGGATGCTACAGATCTGATGAGGGTGGATCAGCTATGTCGTAAAGGTGGACAATTCGAGGAAAGCATACTCGATCATGCAATACAAGATTCCCCACGCAAACCCAACCCATAGCTGCATCGCGAGAATCAGCCGTCTGCTCTGCCCTAAGAGAGACTCGAAGGTCACGCACGCTGAAACTCGCAACAACAGGTTCTGTGAACATCAAATCTTATAACCAAATTCAGCTCGCAAGTCGACCTTGACAAGAATAGCAGCGACTCACGGACAGGTCTCGTACAGGAGATATATATCAACGTCCTCAACTTCGCGCGTTCGTCCTCCACTCGAGCTCGATACCGCGTGTCTCCAGTCTTTTTGCGTATCTCTTGAGCCAACCGTGTAAGGATGATAGACGACCTGGTCTCTTTCATCACGAATGGGATGAGTATGAACATGAGACCTGACGTCCTGTTCCGTTGAGCGGTCAGCAAAACTTCAGGAAAAGACGCGGACGCGAACACTCACATCATCTGAATCCATTGGATCCACCTCCATCCTAGATGACGATTCATCTCTATCCACCCACCGAACAAGGGTCCAAGTCCGCTCCCTGCTATCGCGGTTAGCGAGAACAGGGCCATAGGTAATCCGCGTCTATGTGGCGATGCAGGAGTATCAGCATTGATTGGGCTCGGAGGGAGGTGAATACAAAACCTACTGGTTTGGTTTCCATATATCAGCCACAGTCCCACCAACCATCGTAGAACCTGTCGAGCCAAACCCACCTTGCAAGAATCTCGCGATAAGGACTGTTTGGATGTTGTGTGCCCTGCGGACAAACACTAAATTAGCACAACGGCCGCATGCTCAGAAGGTCACAGACGAGATGTCAAAATTAAGGGCAATAGAATTGGTATCAAAAAGCGGGAACAGAAGACGAACTCACTCCGCAATCATGACATACATCATCATAAACCCTAAAGCGGACACAACGTATAACGGTCGTCGACCAAACTCCTCGCTGAATGAGGCGGTTACGAGTGGGACGAGGCCGAAGCCCAGTGCGTAGAGACTGAGTCCAAGATTTGCCTGGAATGAAGTGCAGTTGAGGTCGGGGATCATCGTCTGAAAACCCATGTTATACGATCCAGCGTTGGCAGCTTATTTCGATTCAGCCTGTGTATGTCCTATGAGAGGGTGAATGTGCGTACCAGAAAGTAGAGTAAAGTAGCAAGCCAAAGCGGTTATAGCCCATTTCGTAGTCATCGGGAAATTGTGAGGATCTCTTGTGTCACCCGGCTCGAATTCGACCTGTGAAAAAATCACCCGTACAAGAAGAGAAGACTTTTATCAGGGAGGCGTAGAAACTGAATAGCAAGAACAACGCACATAGAACTTTTCAGATCCCACAGTATCCCCGCTCATGTTTCCGCTGTCTTTTTCTGTCCTACCCGTCTCCAGGTCATGATGAGCGGCGTGAGCGGTGCCTTCTCGCTCTTCCGTGTTCACTGTAGCAACGTCGACCCTTGGATCCAAATCTGTATCTTGAGCTTCCTCTAGAGATTTGATAGCAAGTCCCATCGTGACGTTCGGCTTGCTCTCCTCTGGTTGAGAGGGGCCCATTTCGACCAGGCCAACGACTTGAACGTCTTCTAGAGGATAAAGATAGCCAACAAGAAGGATATCTGAGTCAGATGCTCAGTCCATCCTTTAAAAGTTTAACGAGTGCCGCCGGTGCGGGGTGTGGGGGTTAGAGATGAAGCTGAAGGGTCGTAATCCGGCAGATGGATGGTGTCGAGCCGGGTCACCGCCGAAATGGGTTGACTGAGGTTGAATTGACTTCGGAAATTGCGGAAATGGCACCGGCATCGACGACGAGTCAAGTTTGTTACTTTTTTCCGAGCTGGTTGCTCTTTGGTCCCAAAAGTTTTCTTTTCAGGCGTGAAAAAGGCTCTGAGAAGTCCTTAGATGTTCCCTAATAGCGGGGATCGGCCTACAATGAGTCGATCACGCTCCTGGACTCCTATCAACAACGGGAGGACACCAAATTGAGCATAAACTGCACGGTTTGGTCATGTTCAAGAGCTGCTGACCTCGAGATCGTTAAGCAGTGAATGACCGCTGAATAATTTTTCATTCTGGTACGACTACGATGTTGATTTCGACCCGTTTGAGCTGGATTTTCGGAACCTCCAAACCCTTTTGGCGTTGTCTTGAGTACCTGCCAAGTTCCGTTGTCGTCCGTTGAGCCTCGGACGGAACGTGACTTCCGACTGGGGAAAAAGAGCGCAGCAAATATGTCCAAATACCTGCAGTTGAAAAAGAAGCGCTTCAGATTATGTAACCTTGGGAGACTTGACCGCTTGCCTCTTTCACCTTTGACTTGCTCGTCGTTGGCCACTCGTTGGCCTCAACTGCGGGCATGGCTGGCTTCTTGGATTGTCTCGTGAAGGTCGACTCCTTTACCAGATGATTCAGCGACGCTGGCGGAGGCAAAGTCAGGGCCCGGCTGTGTGCCGGGTAGTGCACTCCCCCGAAGAGCTATGTGCTCTTACCAGCGAACTGCTGTGTATCCTCACTCTGAGTGAGAGTAACTCCTAGTGACAGGAGATAGGGCCCAGCCCTTGGACTCGACCTAGTCCGTCGAACAAAGAATCGACACAAGCCAACGAGCTTGACCACGCAAAACGCGTGTAGGCGCATCAAAACGAGCGCGGGGACCCAACCAATCCCAGGGACAACCTGTCTTGTCGAGTGAACGTGTCAACTTAAGCCGAACGGGCTTGATACCTCGCAAAAGGCGTGGTAGGCGCAGCATTTTGCTGCGCCAGACTCGCATCAACCTGCCAGTTAACATGTCGATCTCGAAGATGACGTGGATGCCTCAAAACGAGCGCAAGCATCGAACTCTATCAAGCTGAAGATGATCCTCAGCAATCAGCTGATGGAAAGGAGCAACTCCTGAACTCGGTCCGCGTGGAAACATGCGCGACGGTAACTGTCCTTACTCCTCATTTTTTTTTTTGCGTCGTCGTTGGATGTGACTTGTTTGCATCGTCAATGGCGACGTTGCTGGTGCTCTTTCTGAAGGTCCGATTCCTTCAGATGGTGCTGGCGGGTGGGGTGGTAGACAGCTGCAGACAGTGCAAAAAGCACGGCACCTTATATGGGCCCTTCAGGCGCAGTCTTTCTTTTTGAAAGGCTGCGCCTGTTGGGCCTTGGGTAATCTACTCCTGCCCTTTATGTTTCTCCGCGTTTGAAGTTTTTTATAATCCCTCTTAGCTCAGCTGGTAGAGCGCGTCACTAGTATTCTTGTTGGTTTACTCATGACGAGGTCAGTCGTTCAAGTCGGCTAGAGGGAAATAATTTTTTCCCCCCTTTTTCTTGTTCTTTTCGCTTTTCTTCCGTTTGTTTGCTATGTAGCTCGTCGTAAGCCTAGTATACTTGTATGCGCTAGTCAAAAATCATTTGCCTATTATCGACCTATGAACTTGAAGAGGACACCTACAAGAATTGATTCGCATTCTGGATTGGTGGGAAAACGCGTCAATGTGGCAGTGCAGCGTTACTGAACGCGTCTTTGACGTCGTCCACCACGACGCCGACTCTTTCCGCCCGTATTCTCATCTGACGGCAATGCGTGCATCAGCTCTGGCATTCTGCGGAAAAAGATTATTCTCTACCTCCCCTCTGGAACTCAAATCACAATTCCGTGCGCTTCTCCGAGAATCTGCCCAACCGGTCGCAGTGGTCACAACGAAAACACATAGTGCTTCCTCACCATCACCCTCTCACTCAGGTTCGCATTCTCAGTATCATGGAGCGACATTATCCTCGTTTACCTCGATTGCAATGGACCCACACCCTCTAATCGCGTTTTCTTTACGTCTACCCTCCAGAATGGCAACATACCTTTCCGAGGTAAAAGCAGAGAAACGACACTCGGATTCCTCCGAGTCAACAGAAACCGAGGCGCAGCTGGTTATCAATATACTATCTGCTGCACAAGAACCTCTGGCGGTTGTGTTTTCGCGACCAGACTTGCACCCTCGTCCGTTTTCCTCGTCTGTGGAGTACGAGCTCAACCGTGATGGAATACCGGTTTTGAACGGGTCTCTCGGTGCGATATCGTGCCGACTGGTGACGCCTCCGATACCGCTGCATAATCTTGGGTCATTAAGGAAGGGGCTTGAGCCAGGCTCGATATTGAGGGAGCAGCAAATGGAGAATGAGGCCGACGTTGTGGATGGTGTTACATCAGAGCTGTTTATCGCGCGTGTGGTGGACGTGCAGCTGAGCGGCGAGGAGGAGGGCCATGAAGAGAGAATGCCGTTGCTGTACCACCGACGAGGATATACGACATGTCGTCTGGACTATAACGGAAAGAAGTGAAGACACGCGTTGTGTTCTGTCGCGACCTGCCGCTCGGCGCCCCATCGATATGCGGCGGTGGCTCCATTCCTCGCAGTAACACCATTCGTACGAGTGTACAACACGACATCACAGGCACCCACGAGATGGAGCGGCAAACATTGTCGAAACGGGTGGGGGTTGCACAGCAGTCTCGGGCTGCGGGTTCACGTGTTGAGAGGGGAAAGGAGAGCATCTTACCGCTGTAGTCGACAAATCAACCTCGATATCTCTGCAAGTATCATAGAAAACGAAGTAATTCCAAGCCCGGAACGCCCATTGCCGTGCTATTTCTCCCTGCATTGTTCGAACTTCATACGTACTCCCGCCGCCACCTAGGTTAACCATACCTAATATTGGACCTGGAGCCCGAGCTTTTACGCCTGCCGGGGGGTCAAACCGGGCTTGCTCCTTTGAAGACCACTTTGCCGTTCTTTCTAGTTGCCGGTACAGAGGGAGATCACCAGTTCTATGGCGACTAGACCAGTATCAACGTCTCGACTTCGGGCCGTAGAATGGACACATTGCAAGTAAGTGTGCCACAGTACGATCGACTCCTCAACGAATGTTGATAACTCCCTGCGAGCAGGATTGGAACATTCCCTCACGCCACTGGCTTGAGGCAAAATCAAACATTCGATGAAGATTATCCATCCACCAGGTTATGACTCTCGTCTCGCCTCCGCCTTTCAGCCTGTCTATGTAGAAACCTTCCGGCTCGTAGCGAGGTTTTCGACCCTTAACAGTTCGCGACTACACTGAGACTCGTAGCTGTCGACTTCGATGGGTCCTATGTACATCAAAAAACGGCCCGCCACCACATCTGGATCGAAGAATGCACCGCTCCATTCTTGAATCCGGCCCCTCGATGCAAGGAACGCTGGACACTTTCGATGAAATTCGGCTGTGTAAGGCGCCTCTCGAAATCGAGCACCAGAGTCCTATAAAAACATGAAGTTCTGCGCAGAGTTTCTTCAGCGCATTGCACTCTCAATCGCACTTGCTCTACTTCTATTCTTCTCTGTCTTCCTTGACCAATATGTTCGCGTCTACCACCAAAGCATTCGCTGTCATCGCCGCCTTTCTGGCCGTGTCGGGTCAGGTTGGCGTCGGTGCCACCCCCACTGGCGTTAACGATGTCGAGGCGCGAGCCTCGTACTATACCGGCGATGGTGAGCCCCTCTTATTGCTTCGCTACGAGACCGCTTCTAAACTTGCCCGCCTCTCCTTTCTTCTCTTCGTGATTCGCTCGAAAGCCACATACTACACTCCCGGACTAGGTGCATGCGGCAAGAACAACAACGCAGGTCAGCTCGTTGCTGCTGTGGCCGCACCAGTGTTCGACAACTACCCTGGGGCAGGGCCCAACCCTAACAAGTACGTGCCCCCCTTGTAGCCTTCCTCATCATCGTGCATTAACTCCCTGCTCCCGATCCAGCAACCCAATCTGCGGCAAGCAAGCCAAGGTCACCTATGGGAGCAAGTCCGTCACCGTTACCGTCGTCGACCGGTGCCCCGGATGTGGAAGCACTGGGATCGACCTTTCCCCGACCGCGTTTAGCAAGTTGGCGCCGCTGAGTGTGGGGAGACTCAAGGGCGTTAAGTGGAGAATTCTTTGAACGTCAAAGTTTAATCTTATCGCTATTGGAGGGTTGAGGGGTGTAACTTGTATAAAGAAAGAAATGTAAATTTAGGCTTGTATTTGGGACGAGGGGAAGGGGGTTTTCTAGTGGAGGATCACTGCTCGGTGTGCTCCGTACACGGCAATATATAGAGCACCTGTAGTAGTGAGTACCTTGACTTGTAGTATATATATTAATTCACAAGGTGTTCGAGAGTTATGGATTGACGTCAACAATGGCTCAATGGGAGCTCTATGGATTGTTGAACGTTGAATACTGGTACGAAAGTCAAGATAGGGAACGGACGCGTCAAATAGTCCATTGAACAAGTATGGGGTGATGATAAAACTACCACTTGGTATAATACTACTAGTAGATAACAATAGCCTTTGGAATAGTACGTAGGCAGGAGTAGATTATCGATACAAAAGAATGTGCAAGTACCCGTATGTACAGAGGCATCGGACGCGCGAGCAAGCCTCGCGCTCCTGGTTGTCACGGAAGCTCTTATGTTGAGAGCACCGGAGCTGGGAGTCAAGAAAGGTGCAACGAGAGTGCGAATGTGGTGAGAAATAACTTGTGAAGATTGGATAAGGTCCAAGAAATGGTGTGTTCCCCGACAACACGTTTTTCAATAGAGTCCGACTTCTAATTTCAAACTAAGCACTTCGAAGCCACGCCGCTCCGAGTTATCGGAGAAATGAATGGTTCAAGATTGATCTTGCAAACTGAAGTCAGCCAAAGGCTAAAAAGCAGGGCCGCTGAGATTCAGACCGCGAAGGGACTCACCATCAACCGAATCCCAAAAAGTCTTTAGTCTCCTGTGTCTAAGACCGACAATCAAACCCGACGGTTCTCCATTCCAAACGCTGAACCCGGTCGATGTACCGGGATCTTGCGAGTTGACCGCCCGGACTTGTGAGATGATGCGGATAACCTTTTCCCGCTCGTCGGAGTGGCGGACCTACTACGGCTCGACCGTTTTAGAGGGTTCTTCAACTTTGAAGGAAGGTCCGCGACTAAACGAGGGCGTCGAAGAGGTGGTGGGAGAGAAGGAAGGGACTCCCAAGCTTGAGACTCTTCGGCAGGAAGATTCGTGGTCGACTTGGCGTAGGGCCGGACATCATCGAGGTTGTCGGGAAATAAAGAGTGTCCCGCTATCTCTGGCGCACTTGCCAGCGAGTCGCACGACATGCGACGAGACAGAATAAGGGGGTCGACAATGTGTAACTGAAGCCACCTCTGCTGCAAGGTGGGAACCGGCGGGTGTGGCAATATTAACGATGATGGCGAAGGGGATGTGTTTTTGGGGCTGGGAGTCCTTCTATTGATGATGGTGGGCGAGTCTGAGGCTGCCACCAAACCATGACGACCTCGCTTGAGATGATGGAAGATACCGCGGAGACGACCCAAGCGCGAACGAAGGCGTTTCCAAATGGTTTTTTTCATCCCCTCCAGTTCATCTCCCGCGCCTTCAAGTAGGGACATGCCAACAAAAGGGACTGTGGAGATCAAGAGGAGGGAGAGAAAGTTGAGAAGCGGACGTGGAAGAAAGAGTTGAACTATAGGTCGTCCACCATCATTAAGTAGGGTTCGGGGCCTTTATTCCCATGGCGATCACATCCATCCGGTGCTGTTGAGCGAGCGGGTTTTTCAGAAGAATCGCTTATGGACTCCAAACTGGCGAAAAACGAGGCGCGTTTCATTCAGATATTAAATGAATCAATTTGATGATCGTCAGGGACTCCCACGAAGCGATTCGAGACGTCACAGCCATTAAAAAAGGAAGGTCGACCGTGTCGCGTCCCAGCTCCCTGTGAAGTCAAAGTGCTGCACTAATGCTTCGGAAAACCGCTACCTCGCGGGTCTTCAGTGCTTCAGCACTTGGGATCTGTATGACAGTTGAGAAAGAATTGCGACGGAGACTTGCCACTACACCATACGTACAGTGCAGAGGGACAGTCTGATGTAGCAACGACATCCGGTGGCACTAGATCGAATATCACCGTCCACTGATAACGCTAGCGGCGGAAAGTCACTTCAAATTCCACTAGTTTCGAGTCCTCGATCTTCTGACCCTACAATCTACGATTGGAAGATACCCTATGAGTGGAATGTCAGCGACAAGTCAGCGAGAATAATGAATGCAAGGGTCAGTAAAGGCGCCCTGATTGGGGCGTGGAAAATTCTCGTTTCGATCAATCGGCAGGCAACATCTGAGTCAGTCAGGGTCGCGCCAGTCCTCCACCAATCACGACGGAAAGCACTATCTGGGGGTCCGAACAGGCTGCAGGGAGTCTAAATGCGTCCGAACACGTAGAATGGTCAAA